ACTTTAGATTGTAGGCCCCTTGTGGGTTAGGGACTTATGTGAATGTATAATATATATGTAAATCGCTGTGTAAATTGACAGCGCTATATAAGCAAATAAATAACAATAAAAAACCCTAACAGGTTTGTTTTTATTTGAATATACCTTTAAAAGACATATGTACATTAAAAAGAAAAAAAAATCTAACCCACCCTTCCTGAAATGATGCACCCTCAATCTGAGGTTAATATATAATCTTCATTTTAGGTTTTTATCTTGAATTGCACTAATTCACAAAGCAACAGTCTTGATTACTACAGAGCAATGAAATTAGCAGTAGATGCTCTGATCAATAAACTCAATAATATATTAAGGTTTTGGACGGTCTCCCAAATTTGGAAGTCTAAGAGGAAGACGATGAGTTATTGCTTTTTAACTCTATAAGAACAAAGCACAAAATTATGCTCTCAGGGGACTTTACGATGGAAGAAATGCCAGCATGGTCATTGACACTAGCAAGGTGAGATGTCTGTAAGTCAGCCCCTGCTAAGGCATGAATAATCCTGAGAGATCTGTTCTGTACCCTGTCATCGGTTAAATTAATGTGTTTTTCATTCCTTTATATCTGATATCTGTTTAATAGATATATAGTCACATATATAATCAGTTTCCCCCAGGTCACTGTAAATGAACAATGCTAAGGTTCTGTTTGAATTATAACTGGTGATCTAAGCAAGATGTGATAATTCAATAAATGATCTAAGCACAAAGCACTACAAAGGTGGTAGTGGTGAGATTCTTTTTATCAGGTCACGAGATCAAAAGCCATAGCACTATATCCCCCAAAATGTTTTACTTGCATGTGTAATATATCTGTGTCCTACAGCATTGTTTATTCCTCTTTGGTATTCTCCTTTGGCTTCTTTTTGGCACAGTCCATGCTGGCACACTGAGACCCCATAGACTTAGATAGATGTAGGAACGGTGGGGGTATTATTATTATACAGGATTTATATAGCACAGGGGCGGACTGACCATTTGGAAACTCGGGCACTGCCCGAGGGCCCGGGTTAGTAGGGGGCCCCATGAGATGCCCCTGGTACCTTTTTCATAGGCTTTTTTGAGTTTGGGCAAGGATATAGGGGCCCTATGATCCCCTACTGCCCGGGGGCCCCATGAGTTGTCAGTCCACACCTGAATACAGCACCAACAGTTTGCACAGTGGAGACATCCTGGAGATGAGCAGGGGAGGAGGAGACAAGGGAGCTAGAGAGTAGGAGGTCTTGGGTGGAGTGGAGAGGACAGTTTGAGATGATATTTGGAGACAAGATGGTGATATAGCTTGGGGCAGAGTTGTAAATGGATTTGTATGTTATTGTTAATGGTTTGATTTCTATTTGTTGGGCAATGGGAAGCCAGTGGAGGGATTGGCAGAGAGGGGTGGCAGACACTGAGCAGTTGGTATGATAAATAATCCTGGCAGCAGCATTCTTAATAGACTGAAGAGGGGATAGCCTGTGAAGAGGTAGGTCTATGAGGAGGGATTAGTGTAAGTTAGTGAAAGGGTTAGAGTAGTTTGTCTTTTAAATTACTAGACCAGGAACAGTTCTACTGTGACATTTTATGCACCAGAACTGAAAGCCAGTCAGGTATTTAAAGTGTTACTAAACCCACAACAGTAAAATCAGTCTATACAGTATATGCAGCAAAGCATGCTTGTTATACTCACTGTGGAACCTAGGGGGTTAATCCTCTGCATTGTGTAAAAACACTGTTTGATCATGACTTCTCTGATCCTCCTCTTCTTCCAGTGTCTCCTTCTTATCTCCTGATAAGACATATTGTGTGGAGATACTCTGCACATGCTCAGTTTAGTGTGTATTGCTATAGAGGATTTTTTTTTGGGGAGAGTGCATGTGATCAGCACAGGACCAATCAGTACTTTCCAGACAGAGGTCAGGGGTTCTGCATCCTCCTAGAGCAGAAAGAAATCTCCTCCTACAAGCTTTAACATGTGCTCTGCTGGACACTGATAAAAGTCACAAGACTGCTCTAATTGCTGATGATAAAGGTGAGAAAGGGTATTTATCAGTTTATATTTACTAAAATAATTGCATTTCCATGTTCTGTGTACTGTGGGGGACCAAATAGAGTGAATGTAGGGTCCTGGGTTTAAAGGTACTTGTTTAAGATCTTTCATTGTATTGGACTGTTGGGCTGAGACAAGATTTTTATTTAATAAATTATGACTTTATAAACGTTAGTGTATTGATTACTTGTCTAGCTCATGGAACTAATAGAAATATTATTATTAAATATGATACAGTATGATCCTTTATTAATTTGCAATCAAAGATATTGTTGACTATGAGGGAAGTGACAGCACAGCAAGATACTTTGTTCCTGAAGCTGCAATTCAGCACAAAGTTAAAATGAATTACACAGCCCAGATTAATGCACAGAATCCCAGGCAGGGATGGCATCACTCAATAAACAACTAGCACAAATACATTACTCAGTGGAGGATTGTAGCAAAGGATGGGGAATGTACTCAAAGAAAACGTTCTAATGTAATAGGTGGCTGAGTTAGCGCCAGATGGGGGTAGAAACTTGCCCAGTGTCACCTTTGTATAGAAATTGTGTGCATCTGTCTAGAACACTAGTCCTTTATTCAGTGCTGGTTTCCTCCTTACTGTGGATAAACATCTACTTGTAAGAATGTTTGCTGTCTGTGCTGTATTGTTCTTGAAAATACCAGTCCCTTCTGCATTAACAATTTTGCCTACTAATGGCAGGAAGTCTATTTTGTTTAGAGATCAAATATTCTGTTTGCATATTCTATGCTGTATTTATTCTATTTTCTGTTTCCAATTCAGTTTTTTTTCTAAAGCATAAAGGCAATATAAGTTAGATGAATCAGTCAGCAGGGCTCAGTGTCTTAAGTACAAATCAGTACAATCGCTTGCAGGCCCTGATTTGAAGACAGAATACATTTTGTCTGCATGTATATGTATTATTTCTTCTTTGTTCTGGCAGTCACAGGACTATTGCCTATTCTTTTTACTGTCTTGCACCATAGGGTGTGATTTGGGCATAGAATGGGCGGTGTGGTCTACATTAACCCCTTCACGCTTAAGGGTAAAACAAACCTTAATGCCTAAGCACAATTTTTCAACGTTGACGTGTGAGTAAAACCGTACATATCATCACAACTACTTTATACATCCAGGTGGATTATACCTTGTTTTTTTCAGGACAAATTGGGCTTTCATTTGGTGGTAATTGGTAATGGATATCTCCTGATTTATTTTTATTGTCAAAGGAAAACTGGCCCAGAATAGTAAAAAAAAATTAAAAAAAATTAAAATTTAGCTGTGTGTTTCTTGTTACAACCATAACCTACCACCAAAGAACAATCCAAAATAAATTTTCCAGCTCTTGACAATCGCAGCGATACCATATATGTGTATGTTATTTGTTGTTTGTGCCCATAGTACAGCCCAGAAACAATAGTGCACATTTTGTTTTTTTGTTTTGTTTTTTTTTACCTAAAACACACTGACACTGATACTAACTGACACTAATACCAACAAAAAAAAAAATTAAAAATCCTGACCTTTGACCCTGACCTTTTTTTACCTTGACCTTTGACCATGACCTTGACCCAAACACTTACCCTGGCACTGAACTAGATCAAACCTTGATCTAGGTATTTTTTGTTTATTTTTTCTTTTCTTTTTTAATATTTATTTATTTATTGGTTGATTGATTTATTAAACAAACATTTTTTTCACCTTTATGCCAGGAGTTAGAGAGACACAATGTATCTCTCTCCTCTATTCATAGAGAGAAAAAAAAACAAGGGGTGTGGGCTATACAGTGACTGATCACTGTGATAGCCAATCAGAGGCTATCACAGCGATGATGTGACCCGGAATCGGGAGTCCTGGGTCCCAATCGTTAGAACAGGACCCAGGGATCTCAGTGACACCCCGGTCTTCGTGCTGGAAGTGCGCTGTGCGACGTGCTCCCAGCACAAAGACAGGTACGCAAATATGCAGCCCCACGGAAAAAAGCCCAGTTCTGTGAGGCCGCATATTTGTGTGACGTCGGTGTCAAGGGGTTAACCTAAATATCCTGGGTTACTGCATTATTACTGTAGCAAAGCAAAACATTAATGATCTATTTTTAAAACTTGAAGTTGGAAACATAATAATTGACATCAATTAAAACTGAACTCCAGGCAGAAAGAAAAACAAAATATACCAACTAATACAGTACATAGATGTATTTATTAAAAAGCATTCAATGTATTATTATATTTAACTAATTTAAATATATGAATTTCAATAGATTGCAGCATTTCTACAACAGTACATATACTAAGAGACGAAGAAGCAACACTTGGAGCCAAACAGATGCTTACATGCACATTACTATTATTATTATTATTATACAGGATTTATATAGAGCCAACAGGTTGCACAGAGCTTCACAACATGTTATGACAACATGCTAATAAGGGACATGCTTATAGACTAAAAAAGCTGACAGATGACCTCATTGGTCTATTGCTGCTCCTTCATTGTCTAGTCAAAGGCTGGGGGGCGGAGAGCTAACTAGGCTGTTTTTGCTTAAAAAATATGTTACCCCAACATTTCATATTCCAGATATGTGCCTGCTTTCCCATATACTCGTATGAAGATGTATCCTGTTCTCTTTGTGTTGCTTCCTTTCTTGAAATCCCTGGTGTTTCTGCCAGTTCCTGTTCTTTCCTTAAAAAAAAAACTAACAACACCAGGCATGAGAGCACAGCATGGTCAGCTTTCTACCTGTGTTGAGAACACAGCCTGTCAGTGCATGGGTCCAAACCTGGGCCTTCTGTGGTGAGTGGCAATGTTTCTTCTTGCTGAGCCACCTGGAATGCTGGATAATTATTTCGATGATCCTGCCTTGTTTTTCATGAACCCTGAACCCCTTGCTCCTCCCATGAACTTCCTGATATAAGCCATGTCTCTGCACTTCCTGTTTGCCAGATTTTTGTGCTCTCCAGCCATTATCTTGCTCCTTGCCTTCTCAGCTGTCATCCATATTTTGCTACCACTCATTATTGACCCTTGGCTTGTTCAGGACTACGCTTCTGCCTGATCCCAACCTACAACTGCTCATTACCAACCTTGGCTTGTTCACAACTACGCTTCTGCCTGATCCCAACCTACAACTGGTCATTACCGACCTTGGCTTGTTCTGGACTATGCTTCTGCCTGATTCCAACCTGCAACTGGTCATTACCGACCTTGGCTTGTTCTCGACTACGCTTCTGCCTGATCCCAACCTGCAACTGGTCATTACCGACCTTGGCTTGTTCTCGACTACGCTTCTGCCTGATCCCAACCTGCAACTGCTCATTACTGACCTTTGGCTTGTTTACTGACCACGCTTCTGTTTGATCCTCACCTGCTTAATACGCTACTGGACCTCGGCTTGCTCACCTCCTGGTGGGGTGATCCTGAGGACCGCGAACTGGTGCTAACATGCAGCAAAATCCATCTCCACCATCAGGAATTCTGGTGAACACCGGTTAGCACTTAGACTCCGCACCTCAGGTGAGCCCACTCCTCCGCCACGGTGACCTGCCTGTGTATCTGTCTTGCTGGTTTCAGTGTGAGCCTCTCAACTGCTAAAGCAACTGGTCATCGAGCCTGACCCCTGATTGTGACACAGCCTGTTCTCCTTCAATAATCAGACTTCTGTTGACATGCCCCCCCCTGCACAGCCATTCACTGGGAAGATCAGTGTGCTGCTGTTCCTCTTCAATGTGCTCCTTATACAGCTGAGAACAGTTATAAAAAAGGGAAAAGGGTATTTATAATGTTTTTCCATGTATACACAAATATTTGCATTTCATTTCTATTTTTAACTGAATGGGTTGTTTTACAAGGTGATAGTTTACATATACTTTAGGTGTAGTAGAGGAAAGTTAGGTCACCAGGCTGACTATTGGAGGGCACTGGTCCACTTTGAATACACTTTGAAATTAAATATGCAGTTTTACATGATATTGTTGTATAGAAGGTATATTTTGATAAAAATCCACATACAAATCAATTTGGACAAGGTTTACAATTCACTTAAAGCCTAAAACCATTTTAGTAGTGGTTATATAATCATATCACATTTTTTCTGTTGTATTTATTGTAAACTAGAATAAAGAGAAAATAAAAAAGAACAACAGTTGATAAAAAGAAAGTACGTAGATTTGTTTGTAGCTGGAGGAGCTTTCATTCCCCTCTGCTGTGGAAATTAAACAGGTATTCAAAAGGACAAAACTCTGATACTTCCAAGCATTGAAGCTTGTCAATTCCATCCCATATTTTTATTGGTCCATCATTATGTTGGGGAGCCTTGCTGGTCAATAGGAATAAGTGTGAGGCAGGAGAAAACAAGTGACCATTACGAACAGATGGCATTGAACCATGGTGGAGGGGAAAGCAGATCTTCTGCAGGTATAATCAGGCAGCATTTTGAGTGCCTGCACTTAATTTTTTTTTTTTTTTAAATGACTGAATTATAATGAAGAATCTAATAGCTCAGGGCCACGGAGAAGCAGATATTTAAAAAATTATGAACAGGTTACAGAATTTTCAAAGTTTTTTATTATTCATTACCCCTAGCGATCAAATGTATTTTATTAGTACACTTCAATTTAGAGCAACATAGTTGTCAGTAGCATTGCCATTAGGGACATTTTAATATCAGTGTTTTAAATTTTTAAAAAGAGTAAAGCTTTAAAACAAAGTGTAATACGTGCTCTGTTCAAGCAGCTTATGATCCAGTTTTTTATGTATGGACAGCAGAATTCAGCCATGGCTCTTTGCACTGTATTTAAAACTTCATTGAGTAATGATGTATCTTTACATGGTTACTGAATTCAGTGCATATCCCAATATTTAATAGTCAGCCCATGTCACAATTTCTCTGAGATACAGCAATAACCACTGAAGTGAATTTAGGAATAATAATGAGTTAAGCCAGCCCTCAAGGTCAAAGCAGATATTGCAGTTTACCCTTTAAAATGACATATTAAAATAGCAGTTCACCCATTTAAAAATAAATGCAAAGTCCATATTAGCATTTTTCTTATTGAATTTATAATAGTTTTTTTAATTTTGTTGTGATTGAAATTCTGCCTTGAAGGGAAGCTTATTGGATATGTTCCATAAGCATTCTTCAAGCTATTTATAAAGCATTTTCTGCTGTTTTGTCAAGAAATACTTTTTATTTTGTCATATTGTTTATGAAACTGAGGCAAAAAGAATAACCTAAGTGATCCTGTTAATTAAATCTGATGATTGTGCCACTACATAATATTATCCTATCACAAACACAAAAAGGAACGAGATTTACTTTCTTTGCAAAACAAATGAAACAAAAGTAGGTTTAACTACACTTTTAATACTTGGTCACTTTACTAAACACACCATGCTATACCAAGCTGATTTCAGCTTAGGTCATTAGATGAAAAAGTGTAAACATTACGGTATCCTTTTATGAAACTGAGATCAGCGGCGATCCTAAGGATCGTTGCTGATCTCAGATCATTAGTGGTTTAGGAAACAAAGATGATCAATGGAGAACATGTTCCCCGCTGATCATCTCAGCACACAGAGAATCTGTCAGACATGTCCAGTGTATGAAGGAGCGATGTCAGTCCTTCACTGGCGATCTGTGTGAAAATTCTTCCTTCAGATTCTCCAGCCCAGAGGTGGAGAATCGGGGAGCAGCAAAAGCAGCAACTGTAATTTACCACTGCTTAGTAAACTGTGTGTTTGACTGATCTCTTACTGTAATCTCTTGAGATTACAGTAACAGCAGCCATTTTACAGAGTTCAAAGCATTGTAGATCGCTTCTCTCCTCATTAGAAGTGATCTACATTGCTTCATGAACAGGCATTCAGAGAAGAACTGTCTTCTGTGAGAATGCCAGAGAACTGAGCAGTGGTCATTTACCGCTGCATGATAAAAGGACACAAATGTGAATAGAGACAATGTGTCCTTGTTTGGGCATAGTGTACAGTTTAAACCACGCTATCATGCTGTTCTGTACATTATATACATCATACAGGTCCTCTTTATTTAAGACAAGAATTAAAATTGAATTCCAGGAAAGCAGAAAAATACACAAGCAAAATACATACAGGGAGGCTACTTTTCCTGCCTAAGGAATTGCATTTCTGTTCATCCATTTCTGAGATTTTCACAGCTCTACAGGGCAGGGTAGGAGACCGGATTTTGCTCTGCTACAGCTCAGTAACACTTACAGGTCTCCTTTGTACATAGCGGCATATTTAGCATACACTATATTGCCAAAAGCATCGGAATGCCTGCCTTTACACGCACATGAACTTTAATGGCATCCCCAGTCTTAGTCTGTAGGGTTCAATTTTGAGTTGGCCCACCCTCTGCAGCTATAACAGCTTCAACTCTTCTGGTAAGCCTGTCCACAAGGTTTAGGAGTGTGTCTATAGGAATGTTTGACCATTCTTCCAGAAGCACGTTTGTGAGGTCAGGTACTCATGTCAGAAGAGAAGGCCTGGCTTGCAGTCTCCGCTATAATTCATCCCAAAGGTGTCCTATCAGGTTGAAGTCAGTCAAGTTCCTCCACCCCAAATGTGCTCATCCATATCTTTATGGACGTTGCTTTATGTACTGGTGCGCAGTCATTTTGGAACAGGAAGGGGCCATCTCCAACTGTTCCCACAAAGTTGGGAGCATGAAATTGTCCAAAACGTCTAGGTATGCTGACGCCTTAAGAGTTTCCTTCACTGGAACTAAGGGGCCAAACCCAACCTCTGAAAAACAACCCCACACCATAATCCTCTCTCCACCAAACTTTACACTTGCACATTTACACAATGCAGTCAGGCAAGTACCGTTCTCCTGACACCTGCCAAAACTAGACTCATCCATCGGATTGCCAGACAGAGAAGTGTGATTCATCACTCCAGAGAACACATCTCCACTGCTCTAGAGTCCAGTGGTGGCGTGCTTTACACCACTGCATCTGACGCTTTGCATTGCACTTGGTGATGTAAGGCTTGTATACAGCTGCTCGGCCTTCAAAACCCATTCTATGAAGCTCTCTACACAGTGTTGGTGTGCTAATCTGAAGGCCACATGACGTTTGGTGTCTTTTGATATTGACTCTGCAGAAAGTGCACTGTGCACTTCAGCATATGCTGACCCCGCTCTGTCATTTTACATGGCCTACCACTTCATGGCTGAGTTGTTATTGTTCCCAGTTGCTTCCACTTTGTTAAAATATTACTAACAATTGACCTTGAAATATTTTGTAGCAAGAAAATTTCACAGATGGACTTATTGCACAGGTGGCAACCTATCACGGTACCATGCTTGAATTCACTGAGCTCCTGAGAGCGACCTGTTCTTTCACAAATGTTTATAGGAGCAGTCTGCATGCCTAGGTGCTTGATTATATACACCTGTGGCCTTAGAGGGGATTGGAACACCTGAATCCAATGATTCGGAGGGGTGTCCCAATAATTTTTTAATAACCCCATGTATCAAAATTATTTTTATCAAAATTATTTGATTAAATGTCATACATATATGGGGTGGGAGCAAAACTGGCAGGTGGAGGGTGGACAGCAGCAGCTGTGAATATGGTTGCAATTTTATGCAAAGACATGGAACTTAGCATATCAATCCACCCCAAGTTCAGAGACTCCATCTCCTGCATAAATATCAACATTTGAAAATGGATTGATTGGCAAAAGCACCTATGCATAGCGGAAAGTGAGTGTCACTTCATGTTGCATGGTGTGTAGAGTGGGAGGAAAATAAACCACAGCATTGCTGTCATTGGCAGCAATAATAACCCTAAGCATTGGTGTCACTGACAGCAGCAATAACAATGCCCAGTACTGGTGTAAATGGCTGCAATAATAACCCTTTCATTGTTGGAATGAGGTGTAACATTAACCCTCAGCATTCATGGTCAGTGGCTGGTTGAAAGAATAACAACCCCTCCAGCACTGGTGGTCAGTGGCTGCATGTAAAAATAACCACCCCAGCATTGTTAGTCAGTGTCTAGTAAAAAATACCTCCTCAGCATTGGTCGTAAATGGTATGCTGTAAAAATAACCCGTTTCCCCAATATTGGTGGCCAGTACCTGGCTGGAACAATAAAACCTCAACCCAGCATTGGTGTTTAGTTCTTGACTGTAATAATAAACCCCACAGCTTTGATGATCAGTGGCTAGCTGGAATAACAATAATATCCCCCAGTATTGTTGTTCAATGTATAATACCTTAACATATGCTTCTGCATCAAGCTCTCTCTTGTGGCCAGGCTAGGAATATAGTTCCACTAGTAGTCAGAGACCACTTTGCCTGAGAGTGCTGACACTGCACTAAGTGTGAGGATATTTGGCATGAATACTCTTCCCATTTTTATATACATTAACTTGGAATATTTCATGGTGTCTAGTGTCACTTTAAAAAACTCATTCAAACTAAGTTATATACTTACAAGTTATGGCTCCTACAACCCAGAACTTGGCTAGACTTTCCTTCCACTGCAGGTTTAAATATCATTCATTACTAACAATTCTATGCTGCATTTACACTTTAAAATTGTTGGCTATACTGCTAAAATAGTGCATGTTAAAGTTATATCATTACTGACTGTTAGATGCTGTTCATCATTTGCTTTAGAGTACTAGTACTTATGAATTATTTATTGTCTCTCTGGGGAAGTC